ATCATTATCATCATCATCAAAATCACCATCGCAACTCGATCGTCATCGTATCACAGTACATATCCTACTTAAGCAATACTAACAGTTTGAACAACAACAACAACAACAATAATAACAACAATAATAATAATAATAATAACAACAACCACATCGATGACAACGTCAATGACAACAACAAAAATCGAACTGGCACAATTGAAGTGGTGGAGAGGGTAGGCAAGCCAGTCGGCTGCAAGGTCCTGGGTTCGAATCCCAGTGCGAACCTCTCCGTGTACATCGGCGATCGTGATGTCACTGAGTATTTCATCATCACTCGAAAGGAAATCTACTTTGATGGCAATGATGATGAAGGTGATGATGATGATGGTGATGATGGTGGTGATGATGATGATGATGGCAATGATGGTGGTCACAGTGATGATTGTTTGGATGTTGATAATGATGGAAATGGCCATTACGATGTTGATTGTGATGTTTTTCGTGTTGACGACCGAGTGATTGTTTCAGTCAGTCAGTCGGTCGGTCGGTCGGTCGGTCGGTCGGTCGGTCGGTCAGTCAGTCAGTCACAATCAGTCAGTCATATTTACACTGGTTAGTGGAAACAAAAAAGACCGCGTTTAAATAATAGCTATATCACTGAACAGACCGAACAGCCACCGAAAACTGAAAAATTACATCATAAAATAGTTGGGGAAAAAACTGAACACATTAAATTAAAAGCTAACAAAAAACCAAAATTTCACCTTCATCTCGGCAATGTTGCTGTTTGTGCAAAAGACGATGTAATTGAAGAATTAAAATATGACAATACTAATGAACCATTAAGGCAAACCAGTTTTCGTGAAAGATCGGAACGAAGGGAAGCACTTAGATGAGAACAACAAATCAGCAGCATTTAGAACTTGCCTGGAGAAGAACAACCTAAATAAAATTAGAGTTCCAAAATTTGCCATCGGGCGTCATTTTACCAGATTGCATTTTCAACAAACCATCCACTGGGGCCGAACAACGATTCACTTCGAACAACCAGCAACAAATGGTAACCGAATGACAAATTCGATCTCCGAATTAAACAACGATTCTGTCTTCAATAATTAATTGGCTAAAATTTATTTTAATTAACATTGAGACATTTTTCTTCTATCAACAATTTTATTTCTTTCTAATTTATAAACTAGTCTTGTTAAATGATCAGAACGTTGAGAAGTTATTTTAAGTTGATCCGGCAAGAACTAATTTTCTTTTTTTCGTCCCCGAATCATTCATACTTTTCGTTTTGTTTGATTGAATGAAAATGATTTGATTTGAAATATATATATATATATATATATATATATATATATATATATATATATATATATATATATAGATATCTTTTAATCTTTTAATATATAAATATATATAATT